ATTCGTGTGGCTGTGGGAAGCTGCATCGTGCTGTACAAATGCCCCGTTCCTTTCTCCAGACCTAATCCGGGGCTATGAACTGTCACTTTTTCTCCCACAAGATCCTGCTCTAAATCCTTATCCATGCAAGAAGTCTTTTAAGTGCCTAGCAAAACTCTTATGGACTGTGAAACGGTGCTACGGTGATTGAGATCAGACACAGAATTATTTTAGGTGCATACAAGGCTTTAATCTTTGAAATCATTTTGCCTTTAGGTAGAAAACTTTTCAAAGTACATTTTTTCTCTTTTAAAGTATTGGGGCTTTTCTGAAGCCTTGACCAACCGTGCTGTCTTTTAATGCTTGAGTGATGGACGTGTGAATCCTTTCATTCTGCATTCTTACCTAGCCATTTTCTGTCAAGTCTGCATAGAATTTTTCTTCTCTTTTGATATAAAACAAATTGGTCAAATTAAACATTTTGAGGTTTGGGGTTTTTTGGGGGGTTTTGGTTTGGTGGGGTTTTCTTCTAGAATACTTTTATCTGAGAAATTATGAAAGCATATAAATTTGTATGCTTTAAAAAAATGTATGTACAAACTATATGTGGGAAACATAATTCTGTAGCTTTCTAAAAAATTTTTTAAAGCTTCTGAAACTTCTGTTACCCAGTCTTGTGTGTAGCCAAAACACGTCTCATTAATGAGGAGCTCCACCACCCCATGCTTGTAACACCGGTATCTGCTCCACAGGCTGAGAAGCCCAGAAGAATCTCTCTTCTCAGTTGGCTGCTCCAAACCTAGAACACTGCTCTCGGCTCTCTAGGACTTGTGTTTCTGTACTGTACCTACACATTTTCCTTTATCAAGCAACAAGCTGTTTCTACCACCTGCTAGAAAAAAAAAAATCCAATACCCAAACCGTTGTAGCAGACAGTCTTGGCAGAACCCGATACGCTCTACTTACTGGCGTCGCTTGGTGTTTCTCCCTGTCTCCTTCAGCCTGGAAGGGTTTGAACGTGAGGGACTCCTGCGCTCTTTAAATGCAGTGGCTACCGCTGTCGGCCCTATAAAAGCTGGGAGGGGAGGGGAGTGGAGTGAGAGAGGGCTTCAGGGATCTGAGCAATGCTGTTGCTATCATCAAGCTGAAAATAACCTCTGACAAAAGCCTGGCATTTTGTTCCCTGATGTCCACTTGTGAGTAGGTGGACAACAATGCTGCCCCTCAGATTACACCTAGAGGGCATTCCTAAAGGCAGTCTAATGGGTCAGAAATAAGGATGAAAGTTTCGTAGTTGCTACTGCGTTGCTTAAGTGTGAATCATAAAATAAGGATTCCTGAAATGAGAATTTAGTCATAAATGCCAAAACTAAATTACCAAAATAATTATTTAAAAAAAAAAATCAAAGCCTGTTTGTAGGAGGACCTCTGGAACTCACCAGTTTCATACCAAATAGAATTTCATTCAGCAGTTCGTGATTTGATACAACTGGTTTGCCTTTTAGGGTAGAGAGAATTAGGCTTTTCACTCTAATCTTTAATTTTTTACTGGTTTGGGCCATTAAGATGGCTAGTTAATATGTATAATGTTCAGCATGTCAGGTCATTGCAGTTATATTTGCTGTGCCTCGCTGAGCCCGTTGCAAATGGATGATGCTGCAGACATATTAAAGAAACGGAGACTAAGGTATGAACCACTCAGAGCTGACTTTTCACAGGGTTTTATTTTAAGTGCTTTAAGATTTAGAAGGTAATTCTCATTTCCTAAAGAGATGTCTGAAGTAGAAACTTTGTTCGGTATCGTGGACTTTGCTGTGTGTGACCGGGCCAAGCCCTTACAGCCTAGGGGTTAAACACCGCAAGTCTGAAGCTGAGAGCTGCAGCTCTGGGACTTTGATAGGAACACAAGGAATTTGGATGCCAAATCCATGTCAGACTTCAGGATTTTAGGGGTCTGTTCACTGAGGCTAGTCTGAAAACTCGTGGGAGCCTGTAGCTCCATCAGCAGTTGAGTCCAGCAAAGAATTTATAATGCGGAGACAGGTCTGTGATGTAAAGTTGGAGGACTATTTTACCTAAGCAGGAGAGCTGGACTCCATCTCTTCTTGGTCATTCTCCCAGGACAGTTAACGGAACTGCTCTGCCTGTGTCAGGTGAGGCTCAATGCAGTGGTGGCGGTGCAATGTACGTGGTACGCACGCTTCTTCTAAGGTGGCAGAGAGGAGGGGTTGGGGCAGGACTGAGCTCGCTGTTGGAGTATGGGGCAGCGCTAAGGAGCTTGTAACTGCTTTGTGTTTGCATCCTTGGTGATTTGTGAGTTAGGACCCTTGACATTTGAGGGAACTGAATCTGCATTGATCCTCGCTCACGTTGTGTAGATCATGTGCTTGGATTGATTTGCACCATAACCAACTGCAGGGAAATCTGTGGAGAAAGACTTTTTTCCCCCAAAATATCCCTAAGTATTTTCCCTTGAAGTTTGTCAGAGAGTTTAAGGGGCAAAGGCAGGGAACAGCCTTTAGTTTCCTGGTGTTGGGTGTTGCTTCATCTCTGTACTGCTGTGCTACGCCGATACTCTGTGCCCCTGTGCGGAAGCCAGTCTTGTTGGGAAGCTCTTTACAGCTCAGAGGAGCACTCAGACCCATATCTGTTAGTTGGCATTTCGTATAATCCCTGGTCCACTATCGGGACCTGAGACTGGAAGAGCAGACCTGAAATACGCGACTGGAGCATACACATGCATGAGGTTTTATATTCCCGGTGGAGCGGGAACGTAGTGTTTTCTGTAAATCAAAGGTAGGGATTAAAGAGCCCTGCTCGGAGAACTGGAACGCAGCGTATCAGAAGCGAAGCGAGCCCAAGGATCAGAGGGACTTTCCTGGAGCTTGGCAGCAGAGCACGTCGGGTACTCGGGTCAGGTCTGAGGGTGGGTGAGGCAGGTGGAGAAAGCAGTGGAGCTCAGCTAGTCAGGGCAAAACACAAGTCTGGTAGGGAGCAGGATGCTCTGAGCAGAGAAGCGGTAGCTTTTCAGCCTGCACAACAAACAAGAACAAAGTAAAGAGCCAGGTGTTACAAAGCCTGCATGAAAAAGCGAGCAACTGTGTTTTGCCAGGAGCCAAGGGACGCTAGGCAGCAAGTCAGAATACACGTTCAGCTTTTTCAGAACAGAGCACGGTGTGTGAGGAGACCATTGCTCCAAGCCTCGGTACTGTGGTTTCTCATTCTGTCGACTGCGGTGCCCAAACAGGAAAGGTTTGTAGTTTGTTTCCTTTGAGCAACGCAAGTTTCTGTAAGTCATTGCCTTTCTGCTTCTAGAATTAAATTGATAGCACGTGTAAGGAAGATCAATCTATTACCACAGAAGAAAAATGTACTCACTGCTGCAGTGAGAATTCCTCCATTTTCCAGCTTTTATTCTTCTCTCCCCCTCATGTAGGAGTATTTCAATAGCGATCCTATTCTGTCAGATGTATTTTGTATTATAATTTTGCATTTTTAAAGAGCAAGCCAGTTAGTTTTACTGTGTTAGCTGCTTTAACTGTTTTGTTTTTTTTTTACCCAGTCCAAACCTGAATTGTGGGCTTCACTAGAATTTCTCCTGTCCTAATTTAGACAGCCAGGGACACTTTACCGGGGAAGGCAGATAACGCTATATTTTACTTTTGTCCTCCAAGTGTGAGCTCTATAAGGAGGCTTCATCTTTTTTCCTTCAGTGTAGGAGACCCTGCCAGAGGTATTTAAGTTCATTTGGTTTAACTTAACCGGTTTGATGTGAAATTGCCAGGGGGGAGGAACAACAGTTGGAAGCTGACATGGATCTTGGCTAGAAAGCAGAGACAAAACCATGGGGCCTCTGCAGGGTGTGGGTGGATCCAAGGGACATGGGGCTCCCTCCTTCCAGAAGCCAGACCTTGTGTTGTTTGCAACGTCGAATAGCCAGTGCTTCACTAAGTGCACGTGGGATTTCTGGCGCAAGCCATTTTAGGTGGTTACAGAACTTCAGGTCAGATGTTCTGGAAACTTCCTCTTAGTGACAAGAGGACCTATAGTGCGTATAGCGTGGCAGGCACCTGGCTCCAGCTCTGAGGTTACTAGAGAGGCCAGGTAATGAGTGTACATCTTCAGATCTCACTACGATTGTTTAGCTCGAGGCCCAAGCCATGTAACTTCTCCGTTCTGTGATGTCTGGACAGCAGCATACTCTAAGGTGATAAGGGTACTATGAATTCCAAACTATATAACTGTATTTTCCTCTAATTGATGTTATTAGGACATGTAATCTCTAGTGAGAGTTTGGAAGTCAGACTGAGTTACTAACATCCCTTTCTAATGAAATACCGTCTTCCCGTTCTTCAGAAGACAGACACCCGTGTCTGACAAAAAAAGAATGAAGAGATGCCAGTGAATATACAATGTGTTACTTAGCTAATTTAATTTAAACAAACAAACAAAAAGTCAAACTTTGAGTTCGATGTAAGTTTAATCTGAACAAATCAATTTAAAAATACAGTATAAATAATTCTTAACTTATATAAAACTTGATTAAGAATTCATTTTTTGTTGGATTTTTTCTTTTTTACGAACTTTACAAAAGAGCATTTACTGAACACAGGAGCAAGACATTTTAACTATGGCCTTTTTGTTAAGACATAAAATATGTACACACTCACAGTACTTTTTTTTGTGCAAAATATGTACTGACTGATAGACTGTACCTTCCTGAACAAAGAAAATTTCAGCTTACTTTGCATAGCAGAAAAGCAACACAAAAAAAAAACACTACATACATAACTTTGTTACTATAATACTTCAGGTAAGCCTTTGGGAAAAAATTATTAGACATTAACTTTCTTATTTAGAGCCAGTTTTAATTCCAAAGCATTAATTCAGGCTATTCCAGTACTGAGGTCTTGCCAATACGTGTCCAAACCACACATTGTCCATCACACAATCCAAGACGTGTGCAGTGTGTTACCGGTAATTACACCTGCTAACACATTCAGCAATTCGGTATCCCAAAATTAGTCTTTTGACACTTCAAGTTTTCGTTGAGGAATATACAGAGTTCCTTGAGAGATTCTGTCGGTACCATCTGGATTTGCAGACACTGAAGATACTGTGTTTGGCCCTCCTGGTGTGTGGAAAAAGTTTTCTGTAACTGTCTGGGGCTGTTGGGGTTCCTTTGGAACAGAAGGCTAAAGGGAAGAGAGAAAGTTACTTTTATTTAAGGGGAAAGAAAAAAAAACACATGAACTCTAGTTTTACATTTCTGCAGGGTGTTAGCAAACTCTTTTTCCTGAAATTTAATAACAACTTTTTACTAAGAAGAATATACCTGTATTCCTTTTCTACCAAATAAAAAAAAAAGGTTTCTCTAATCCCCTCCTAACTCCATTTTTAATACAGATCTTAGGCAATACAATATTGCACAAAATACACAGAAAAACTTCCCATGAAAAAAAAATCTTTTAAAATCCTCTAAAAACGTATCGTATTAAAAAAAAGCTACCATTACATGCAGGAACTCGAGGGCTTAGGAAAGTAACAAGGAGGAAAGATAAAGTAACCAATGGATGGTTTGTTAGTAAGTGTCCTCTCAGATCTGCACAAAATCCTCCCTCTCAAACAGTTCTCTCCACATCTCGTCATCTTGCAGCTGTCTCCACATCTGCTACAAATAAGGTTCTTGTTCTTCCTTTCTAACCTCTCAATTACATGGTACTTATGGAGGCCTTCCCTGCCAGCTCTTTTCGGGCAGTGCTGATTCATAAAGATCAGAAAAGTGTTTTCCTGCTGTAAAGGAATTGCTTCCAGCTCAACCCACCACAGTCAAGAGGTCACAATATACTTTTACTCACCTTCTCCTCGTGCAAGCTCGCGTTTCCTGAGCCCTGGCTAACGTTTTCTGGTTGTGAAGGGACTGGCACATGCTGAAGAGGAGGGTTTGCAGGAACTTGCACACCAGCAGGTATTAGTCCTATGTGTTGCAGTGTAAAGTTCAGAACTGAAGAACTGGGATTTGGGGCGGAACTGGTATTGCTTGAGTTGAGACAGGGGTTGCTCAGTACAGGCGCGGCAGCTATAGAAGTTGGTGACAGCATTATATTCAAGGGTGTGATATGAAAAGCAGGGATGTTAACCGCTTTCAGTTCAGATGCTGTCACTGGAATGACACCTGAAACAGAAAAATCAAGTGTTGAAGGGGATTAAAAATTGAGACTCAAGCCATTGTGCTGCGACTGCGTTACCTCAGCAGGATGATTCCGGCCCACGGTCCTTGAAGCCAGACATCGGTATGCCTATTTTATCTAACACTCACCGGCAATGGGCGAGCTGTAGGTAGTGTGCTGTAATGAACATATCCCAGCTTTCTCTTTATCAGAAAAGCCTGCCTTGTTGCCATTGGTGCACTGAGTCAGAGCAATAAGATAGCCAGATGGGAAAAAAGTCTGGAAAAGAAAAAGACAATACACCTTTACCCCAGACATGTAATAAAAAAAAAAATGAGTTTTTCTCCAAAGCTGCATCCCCCTTTCCTCATTCTTATTCTTTCTCGTATCCCCAGGATCATATATTCCATGCCTGTACTGCCTTCTGTCTGAAATTAGACAGAACTGACTCAAGGATGTGCTCTTTAAAGTAAGACCACCCTACTGTGCAAAAGTCAGCCGGCTCCCTTTCCCGCTGATATCCTCAGTGAGGAACTGGATTAACACAGTACAATTAGACTAGATGAAAGAGAAATCCCGATACTGCATACTATTTTTTTTTTTTCTCCCAGAAGAAACATCTGGACCCGGTAATCATCATGTCACCTCATTCTTGGATTGTACTTTTCATAAGACAAATATTGGAAGACAATCCCTTTGCATTTACAAGTTCTGTTTTTATCAACAGAACTGTTCATTGTTCAGGTTCTCTGAAGTAGTAACTCTTAACTGCAGAATGCCAAACGTTACTGATTAAGAGTGTTTCATGTGATTCAGTTGTAAATCAAAGTATTTGAGACTAAATATACACAAAGGACTGGGGATGTAAGGGATCTCAACATCGCCTCCATCTACTCAGTTGTGATCATCATTCCAGTTGAAGCCTGAAAGCCACTTTGTGTCCTCTTATTTGTGTACTTAATGCAGAAACTGAAGTCCTAGATTCCTACAAAATAAGGATTTAAAAGCACACTAAAAATAATCCAACCAAAGACAACCTATATATGTGGAGTTCATTATAGTTTTGTTTCTTTTGCAAAGACTTTTTGCAAAGTAGGCATGGTGGTGTTGGGGTGACAGTGGCACTTGATGATCTTAGAGGTCATCTCCAACCTATGATTCTATGACTCCAAGTGGTGTCTTCCCCCGGCAAGATGTGCTGTGTTTTCTGACAAAGCTCACCTCATGAGCAGGAAAAAAAAAAACGCTACAGGTATGCCTTGTTTAGTTTTGGTTTTGTCCTCATCTCCTGGCATATCTTCTCTTTTGCATTGGTCGTAGCGGCTTGCCATGTTTTGATCTAATATTTCTGGTTTGCTGTGCCTCTCTTCCTGGAAAGTGTCCATTTCGTGATTCACTTGTGAGCTATTGGAAGGTGGTCGTTCATTTTTAATAGATTCTCCCTTTTAAAAAAGTACAAAACCAAAGGCAGACATTGTAAGACTTAACATTCTCAATTACAGGTCTACAATGATATTTGTACATTTTAAAAATGAGGAAGGCAAGCTTTCTCCTTTCTGACTCCTTAGTTTGCGCTATAAAAATGTCTAGTCAGTAAGACAACAGTGTTCTCCATGTTGTTGCCTCTTGCTCCTTCACAGCAGGTGGGTGTTTGGCACCGCACGTTGTCACAACACACTGATGACATTTCACGACTGTTTTGGCAAGGACCATTTAAAGCAGCCCTGTAATTTACAGAGGCACTGAAACATTCGGGAGCTGAGGAGCTGAAAGCAATCCAGACCCAGTTTCTCCGTATCCATCAAGGGTATCCAAACCTCCTCCTCACGTGCTGTATTATGATGCCTACAACAACCCAACGTATTAACAATGTACAACACTGGACAGAAACGTTTCAAACGTGTCAGGATTTTCAGCCATTCCCTGCCCAGCACCTTTTATGTGTCCGCTTTCCCTCCTACCACCTCTAAAGCCAAGGATGAATGCCAGCCAGATGAGCAGCCTCAGCTACTCCAGAACCATTGTATAAATAGGTAAGTCTAGAAATAATGTTTCGGGAGTGGTTTTGTTTTGACTGACAGCTGTACGTTCTGACACATCTTCTTGGAAATAAATATTTGGAGGGGGAAGAGGGGAACAAGCAGAAAAATACAGCCTGATCCCAGGTTGGCTTTGCAAAGGTAAGTGTTCTATTGTGTACTGTATCTTCTGCCTCATGCTTGCAAATGCCACCAACATTATGCAATAAGAACTGGTGCTCCAAAACACCAACACAAAATCTTGTTTCATACAGCAAAGGTTCTGCAAGTCTGCAGCACAAATGCTCTTGAAGTAAGGCAAATGCTTCAGTGTTTACAAGGTTACTCCCCTGGCAGGCTTCTTTACAATTTATTTACAAATTTGACACCCAGTAGGCTCCTACATCGCTTTGAAAATGAGGAGGTGGCAACATCATTAAGCTATAAAATGGCATTTAAAAAATAATTTAACTTACCAGAGAAGTATCAAGGCTTTCCTCGTCACTTCTAAACCTTTTAATCAAATTATTCTCTTGTAACGCTTGCGATCTTTTAAGGCACCTCTGTGATGAAGCTTCTGATTTTAGAGGTGGTCTTTCTTTAGCTGTCAAGGATTTTGTTGGATCATCTGTCGCTATGTGACTGTCCCCTTCCTCAGTGGTTACTTTATTTAATACGCTTGGATTAGTACTCTTAATTCCAGTTACATTAGCACACGGTAGAGGCTGCAACATGAAACTTGGGCTGTATGTTGGCACAGTGGGGGCCTGGGAAGGGTGCAGATATATTGCATAGGAAACACCGGAATGAGGATGAGGTAGGATCGCTGGTGGGACGGGACTGTGGCTCGGAGGACAGACACCAAGCGGCGGCTGAGAGGCTGCTGCTGCACGAGGGGCTTCGGGCTTGGCGACCGCCTCAGGCGAGGACAAATGACATTCCAAAGCAGATCTCGGCAATTTCATCTCTTGGGCTTTCCTTAAAAAAAAAGGCCAAAACAAATAAGCAAACAAGCCCAAACGTATTTTAATGCCTTTGTACAGAAATGAATGCCCTGACAAATTATTTTCTGCAACACAAAGACTTAACGTTAACTTGTACTTCTCAATCCACTAAACAGAAAATGATAAGTAAAAAAAAATAGCCTGCGGTATCAGGCGTTACTGGTTTTTGCAGACTATTGCCCAGCTCAACCAGAGCACAGCTTTAACTTCATGGCCAGTGCTGAAACAACGCTTCTCACCTTAGCGCTTGTGCAAACTTACTTGGATTGTCCTTCCAGCTGATGTCTGGAGATTGCTGGAACCTGAGCCGTTTTACCAGGGAAAGCTGATAAACTTTGTTCAGTAGCTGGTTGGAGGGGGGAAACAAAACAAAACTGTTAGCACATCAAACGTAGAAGCTGGATTTTGTCTTGAGGAGACTGCTGTTGAATGCGGCACACGCATTTAGCGAGAAGACGCTAAGACTCCGTGTTCTCCTCAGCCCACAGCCCGGGCTTCGTTTGATCGGTTGGATAGCAGCGTACATCAAACAAATCTTAAAGCTTGAGCTCCATTTTTTTCCCCTCCAAAAGAGGATACTAACAAGAACATGAACATTGATAGGTAATTTTCTGGCAATTTTATGGAATATGGAACTGCTTAGATAGTAAGATCCAAAGCACAGTTTCCTCAACAAACCAGGGTTAGAGGAGTTCACAAAGAAAGAGACAATATCCAGACAATCAGCTACACTACACAAACAGAAGGTTTGAGGCCAGAAAGACATCACACAAAGTCAACACAGTGATATGTAAAAAAGGGATTCAATATTCTTCTTAAACCCAGAACAGTAATACGCCACTCCTCGTGTATTTGGTGTGAAAGAGGAGGCTCGAGTTCCCCACGTGGTGCTGAATTTGGCCCAGATCTCAATGATTATATTTACTTTGCTGCAACTGTGCAAGCTGTGACTGGATTCGCTCCACCAAACTGGAAAGAGCTTCTACTAATTGCAGAGCTTACGCACCGAACACAGGTCAGCTTAGCTTTGTTTTCACTACCGATCTTGGAAGGCCTCAGATTTATAGGCAACCTATACTTTCCCCCTCTCGTCTATTTTTGACAGTTCTTACGATGTGTTGTGGTAAGCAGGCATACCCACGCATCCGCATCTGCTACGAGGGGACGGCAAGCCTGACTGTTTCATGCAAGGTTACAGCCGAGTTGAAAACAAACTTCAAAAACAGATACGTACTTGCACTTATTTTAACTGGACTGGTCGGAGCAGACTGGATCTTTCTTCTGTCGCTTTCTATACTTTTAACTAACTTTATTAGAGATGGGTGCCGAGTGAAGTTTTGCTTTCCTCTTGAAGGAAAAAGGTTTTTTGAACACTGCTCTTTGGAAGGGATGGATTCTGAAAGAGGTGGGGGGCAGGGCGTAGAAGGTTTTTCAAGTTTTGTATCTAAAAAGGAGAAGAAAACCCAGAAAGTAAATACACATCATATGCAGATTCAGTAATTAAAAGCAGTTATTTGAGCCTGGCTTATAATTATTGAAGTACAAGCAGCAACAAAAATGGAAATGCAAGAGTCCCAGTATGAGTACATCTGCTATGTGGAAATGCATACTGGTGCGCTGTGCTGTCAAGGACCAAGGACGGTGATGTGACTAGCCAAGACTTTCTGCTTAGTCTACTGGCTTTTGGTTAAAAAATTTCTAGCAGAGAAAACAAGCAATCAAAATCATCAGCAGAACAAGAGGAAATAACACATACACCTACCCTGAATATCTGACAAGACCTCAGGTCCTGTCCATTTGAATGCTGGTTTTCTACCTCTCTCCTCTGTAACGTGAACTTTCTCGATAAGCTCAAGGCTGCTGAGAACATTCGCTATGTCATAAAGTCTCCTAATTTTGGCTGAAATAAAATAAACCAATGTAAAGTATAGCAATTCTGATTAACAAGTTAACATATATCACAAATAAAATGTTATAACGCCCTTTTAGCAGCTAAAAGGAAAAAGCTTTATAATTCCTTTTATAAGAACAATTTTGCAGAACAGGTGTTTGTACTATGAAATAACGTATCACAATATAAGGCTTATGTGTAAAATAGAATGACATAGATACGGGTCTAGGAAAGAAAATACCGCTACGTATATTATGCTAAATATAGGAAAAACATTTTCAAAACAAGTTAGGTTCTGTGCAACGGCCAAAGCTATCCACATTCTGCGGTGAAAATAAGTAGCTTAAAAGGCAGGTAGAAGCATGCAGCAGCGAACAGGGGAACTAGGGGAAGACCCATGCTAAAATCCATCAGGAACCTCATCCTGCACGTTCTTAACGGTTTCCAGGTTGAGCTATTAGGGAAAAGTTTTAGGCAGCCGTCGATTTACGAGTGACCGCTGGGCTGCAGAGTGAATGCGCTTAGGCCAAAGCTTCCGCTACCGGGAATTGCAAGTCTAGCGAGTTACGGACCTTGGGACGAGGCTTCTCAGCCGAGAACACGGTAAAAGGTGTGATCCCTGAAATACAGCCACACCGATGGAATGCCCTGAAAAGGCTTTCATGGCCAGACAGATGTTACAGAGGAAGAAGAAAGTACAAAAACAACCAAAAGCCCCCATGCTGCCGTGACGCAGTGGAAAGGAAACTACGAACTAGAAACCAGCGAGGATCAGTTTTCTTTTCTCGCAGACACAATTCCACCAAAAAAAGCAATGGAGTCTGTCTGAGACTCCAGGAAGGGTGTCACTTTCAATGTCACCCACAATTAATTCTTGATCCCTCGAGAGCAGGCACATTTTTGATTGTTACAGATACCAGGCCTGGACCTAGAAGTACCTTTTCATTTGAATGGAGAGGAAGAGGAGGAAGCGTGCGGGGAACTGAGAGCAGGGTAAACGAATGAAGAAATAATTGGCAGTTACAGCATTGGGTTTCACTTCCTCTCACGTGTAAGTTACTAACAGGACTTTTATAGAATTTCTTTAGATTTCTAACAAGTAAGTTCTATGACCAGAACACAGATTTGCATGATTCTGGGCCACCTTTGATGAAACGATGCCAAAATCTTTGACAGACTGCTTGAGGAAAGAGAAATTGTTACCAATAAGCAGCCCCGTGACGTTAATTCAGGAGAGAGGATTTAATGGACTTTTATGTGGTCATTACATCATTATGTAGCAATGACTACGAGGAGTGAGTCCCTGTTAAAAACTGTGCAAGGTGTTTAGTGAGGTTTTGGAGGCTCAAATCTATTTACGGCAGGAAAAAGATGATATTCTACACTTTATAAACTTGTATGAGAAGAGTCCATTTGGCTTACACTTGATATTTCTATTTAGGGTAAGATCAAAAAGCAGCCAGCAACAGCAGCACTTTACTTACTTTTAAACTTGCTTTTATCTAAGTCTTCTAACTGGTCTTCTCCAATCAAGATTTTAGCAGCAACTTCAAGGCTTACTATTTGCGGAGTCGATACAAGAAACAGCATCACAAATTTCTGACTCATCACTCGTAAAGACTTGTCCTTCCTGCTATTTACTGACGCTGCAGCAGACAGGAGAGAACTATTCAGTGACATGCCAGCTACAAACATTGTCAAACAGCTGAAGAAATTTGTCAGTAACAATCATTACAAGAACAAACAACACAGCAAGTAAGCAGGGCTGATGTGGACTCCAGAATCGTGTCTCTACATGGCAAAAATCAGATAATTGGGTGGATACCAGGTCTACCTACAGAGAGCGCGATGTTTTCCCCGTGTATGCATTTCCTCTTTTCTGACGACTTGTACTCTTAAAGATGCTTAACAGCAGGTTATACAATGTCTTTAACGGTCCTTAATTACATTTCTCCCATGAACAAGCGTAAATTAAAAAATAAATTCATGGAATAATTTATACTTTTGGCTTCTATAACATTCAGTGGTAACAAATCCTGCAGCTGGATTCTATGTTGGTTATGTCTGACAGTTTCACCCGGTGCCCCCTTGTTCTTGCGCTGTAAAAACACAATACATGCGCAAGAACTGAATGAATAAGGGAATTGAAAAGAGTGTAGCGCACTTATTGTCACCACAAACAGCTGTGGTGCCTTTTGGACAGTACCATTTCAGGCAAAAAAAGTCCAATAAATGTTTTTTCCAAGTTCACTTATCATCACAAATACATATTACTCTTGGCATTAAAGAGAATTATTACCAGCACGAAATTCCATTCCTGGGAGCTCGATAAAAGACATTTCTGAATGCTCATTTGAGCCAAGAGATCTTGCCGTTTCTTCGTTTCTTTCACCATCGAAATCGAATTCCTGCTCGTACTCCCTCTTCCTGATCATCTGAATTTGCTGGGTGTACTTGTTCTCTTCTCCAACTTTTTTCAAAGCCTGCAGGGTTTTGGAGAGATTATGTCGCCCGTGCCAAGTGTATCTGTTTTTGGCAAGGCGGCTCACCATGTGCAGGCTCTCTAGCACGTTCACAATATCATATATGCGCCTACGTTCAACATCTGAAAAAATAAAAACAAAACAGAAAGATGAACATAACATCTCTACTACATAAACTGTTTCGCCACACATTTACCTGAAACATGGTTTGCGCAGAGAAGGGATCTCTTTCCTATACTTCTCCCTCCTCTTAATATACTTCTAAGCCATTTTTGCCAATTCCTCGTTACAAAGGTTTCCGAAAACAGCTCTCGTAGATCTTGCCAGCAAGGAAAAGGAAACAATTCTTGCTTTAGACATGGAAGGACTTGCTTTTCCACAGTTATACTTGGTTTACAGCATTCTTCAAGAAACAAAACTTACTGTTGCCAGAGGAGCCATTACGTGGGTTTCAATACAGCTTTAAAAACCAACAAAGCATATTTAACTATCAGTTCCACTGATTTTAGACCGTCTCATCAAATATCCTTGGAAACTCACGGCAGACAACAGTTTTGTAACTTGTTTTTGAATGTCCTTCTATTAACACACTGTCCTTTTCTGGTCTGTCTGTTAAATTTTTGGGTTTGACTGGGCATTTTCTGAAAGGGGTGTTATTTTGTACAAAGTATAAACAGAATAGGCGTTCTGTTTAATTTGCAATTCATCCATCCCTCTTCTGTGTCCCCCAGCACATTCTGAAGATACAACACCAAAAATTTTATAACAGTATGACTATCATCAGTGCTATCATCTGTAGAATACTGTAATTTCACAGCTCCTTGATCAAAAAAAGCTTCAGCTTAACGTTAGCAACTTAAACTCTCTGTAGATCATACGTGCAATGTAAAAATAGTGATAAAAATGAGAAAGTTAAATTATCATTGAGAGCAGAAAGTAGTTTCTTGCTTTGATGTCATGCTTGGACAGGAAGCTGTGGGTTCACCTTGAGAAACGCTAGGTCCTGCCGCAAAAATCCAACCACTCATCTTAGCCGTCACCTCCAGATCCAAAAACGTGCAACCAGTTATTTGTGGTATCGGCAGTAATTCACATGCTTAATATTAATCAAAGTTCAGAGGTAGCTGGGTTTAAGTAAGTTTGAGAGCACACAGTAAGCACTCAAAATTTCACGGAGAAAAAATGTACAGAGGCAAACGGTAGGTTATTGGCACCTTTGTATGAATAAATCTATAATGGCATATACACCGACTTACTGAGCTCTTCAGCCACTTCATCGAGGCAAATATAATTATTCTCTGCAGTGCTGGGGTAGTTGGGATATCGAGCCAAGAATTTATGACACAGCAATCCTAGACTTTTCTCTTTGCGACTTGGCTGAGATTTTTCGTATTCGTCTCCCGATAAGTGCTCCTACATGGAAATAAGAAATGGAGAATTTGATTTTTTTTTTTTTTTGCAATAAACACATAAACACCGATATCTAACAGCTTTATTGTGAGCGCTGTCAAAGGCCCAGTGTCCTCCCTTTGTCCTCGACGGTTGCAAAATAAAACCAGCACAACGTTACCTGTTGTAACCAGACAATATCCTTACTTGCATTGAGTAAATGCTCCGAACTAAGACTTCAAAACTGTTGTAGTACATTAATGTATAACTTTTTATACTGAATAAACAGCCTTCAGCCAACTTTAAAAAAAGAAAGTAAATGCAGAAGATGCCTTTACAACCTACCTGCAAAGAGTGTCCGGCCTGCAGGAGCTGGCTGGGGCGGTCTGACAGCTCCCTTCGCTGCTCCCTGCTCCGGATCTCGGGGCTGGCCGCGCTGATCAGCATCTTCAGGTTGGAGGTGGGCGTCCATGGGTCTGCCGGGGGGGTCTTCTGAGGCTTCGGCGGGGTGGCCAGGGGCTGGACCTCCGTCAGGACGGGAGGCGAGGTAGCTGCTTGTTTCAGGGGGGTTTTCGGTACTCTCCTGCGGGAACGGTTCTCCTGCGCCCCAAGGGAGAGAAACCCCGCGATGTCACCAGCCAGCAGGGCC